ATTCTGTAACCTCCTGTTTCTGTTTTGACCTAGGTCTGTTGGTTCAAGGCACTGACAGTGATCCTTGGTAGTGCCAGCCCACAGTGCCCTTCTGGGAGTATCTCATCTCCAGGAAGACAGTCATGCATGGAGGAGACACTGACTCAAGGTAGCCATTCATGTTCTCGCTTGAGAAATGGGAAGCTTGGGCTCTCAGGATGAGTGAACACATGAGCCAGCTTCTTGACTGGGGAGGACCTGTGCGGCTGGTGCTTGCAGGCACGTGGTTTGTAGAGAGCAGGATACACATACGGACACACGCAGCAGGTGTTTACTTGCTGGCTTCCTTAAGGCCAGGCCCTGTACTGTTTGTTCCCCTTTCTGTAATTTTGGGTTTCTTACATTAATTTCTCTGTTACTTAAGCCAAATCTGGTTTCGTTGCTAACGGCCCAAAGGCATCTGCTGAGGGACTACGGTGATGGCAGGGTCTGTGTGTTGGGTTAATTACACTTGACTGCTATGCTTGCCTGGGTAGATCTCAGCACTGGAGGGCTGGCTGCTCACGCCTCCTTGTGATGAACATTTCCAACTCCAGAAAGTCGGGGGCATGTGCTCCTGTCAGGCCACTGGAACTCTGTCTTCTGAACTGTCTGGGAGTTCATCCCTCCCCTCTTCTCCAACTTGCTTCTCATTTCCCTCCTTGCCTTCTACCTTTGATCATTGGTCTCTCTGACGCTCTGGTCCTTCCCATCTTGAGGGTGACTCTTCCCTCTGCCTTCTATTCTACAGGGCCAGAGCAACCTGAGATTACTCTGCCATGAATCCTGACCGTCTGTATTCCTTCTAATTGCCCTCTGTGTACCTTCTTTGGTACCAACCATCTGAATGCAGCACATACAAGTATTCACTTTCTATTCTGTCACCATCCCTGATCAAAGATTCCAATGTCAATAACTCTTGTGTGCCTTTCCTTCCATTCCTCCACTCCATGTTGTGTAGCCATTTCCTCTGAATTAAAACATTCCTCCCTGGAGGGAACCTGACTCATAAGACTCAAGAAGCTCACAAAGTTACAATACTAGGAGACTACTTAAGAGTTTATATAAGGCGGGGCATGGTGGCATAACTTTAATCTGAGCACGAGGGAGGGGGGCAGGGACAGTGACAGTGGCAGGGACAGGGGCAGAGGCAGGTGGCTGTGAGTTTGAGGCCAGCCTAGTTTATATAGTGAGTTCTAGGACAGCCAAGGCTATGTAGCAAGACCTTATCTCAAAGCAAAACAAACTAACGACAACAAAAACAAAACCTAGAGTTTATATAAGGAGTAACAGTTACTGAGAAAGAAAAGACTATCTATGATGGAGGGCCCGGTAAGTTAGGCTTAGAGCTTCAGGATGCAACCAACTGTCATGACTTGTCACCTGTAGTGGGGTTGGCTTTTCAGTGATAAGGTTGTCTTTGAGTCACTCATCCTCCTGGAAGTAATTGCGATGAGCTCGCTGGCCCACAAGCTATCCTTGGATGGAGTGGTTCCTTTGGCGTGCCATTGGTGCCTTATCTGGGGTTAATAGATGGCAATATCTCCCATGGTCCCTGCTCCTTCTCCATCTGTACCCCCTAGCCTTCGAAACCTCAGCCTTGTCTTCCTACTCTTTCCAGTCTGACCCTTCCTCCTCAGGGTGACTGACTGATTCAACTTCCCTGGACAGTTCTTGTGCTCATCAGCTTCCTAGTCTTCCTAAACAGTTTTCCTTAAAGTTTCTCATGACTTACCACCAACCTCAAAATTTTCATCTGGGGAAAATTTTAATGTGTTTCATCTGTCAGATGTTTTCTGAAAAGCACTTAGAGCTTTTTTTTTTAAAAGGTGTTGTGCTTTGGGAAATGACTCAATGCTGGTGTCAAAACTTTGACTGCTGTTTCATCAGGGCTCATTAACCGTGTGTGACAGGTCAAGCTAGCTTTCAGTCAAGCTCAGCAGGTTCTATGCAGTGTAGGACTGTTTGAAGGAACTTTGCTAAATGTTCACGCCCAGGGCAGGACTTTGATTTTGATTGGGTAATCAAATCAAAATCAACTTTACCAGCTTAAATCTTTGTCTTTTTCCTGTCAGGTGTATAACTTTTTCCTTCTACATATTTCTAAGACCTTCCGTTTAGTCTACACATCCATACTGAATAACTAACCCCTGCTATGAATGATCCAGACAGGTCTTCTGTTTCAGACATGAGTTAAAACATCATACTGATATTTACTTAAAAACAAGTTCGTGGGTATGGGGAACTATGAAAGCACATAGTAGGAACAGTTGGCCTGGCAATGGAAGATACTGTTTGAAGGATGAAAAGAAAAGAAAGTATGAAGGGGGAAGAGCACAGTGAGGACCCCAAGCAAGAAAGCAGAAAGGGTCTGTTTTGCATTTCTACCCTATAATAGCTGGGGCACTCTTAGGCTTCTAAGGTAGAGATGGATCACGTGGTAGTTTTTAAAAAGCTCATTATAGCTGTTGTGGCAGGAATTACAAAAGGGGTGAGGAGAGCCGGGAGCAGTGGTGAATGCCTTTAATCCCAGATGCAGGCAGAGCTCTATGAGTTTGGGGGCTGGCTTGGTCTACCTAGTATGTTCCATGTCAGCTAAAGCTACACAGAGACACTGCGCCAAAGGAAGTAAAGGAAGGAAGGAGTGACCAGAGTGGTTGTAATATGGGGGTCTCCAGGAACTTAGTTTCTGTGTAGTACTAATCATCCCCAGTATGAGACAGAATCTAGCTTGGAAGGTTATGCCCAAGGTAATGATTGACACAAATGTTAGAAAGAGGAGTAGTGGGGAGAGCTTAATAGAAATGGAAGCTGAAGTAAATTGCCCTCCAGAAGAACTTTGGCAGAAGAGTTAAAAGTTCATGGACACCGATGAGGAGCCTTGAAGTGGGAGAGCCCTAGAGGAGGTGGCATCAGGGTCTATGTGCCCAGAAGAAAGACAAACCTTTCAATTCCATTAGCTCCCTCAGATCCAGAGAACAAAGGGAGTTTCTGACTCATACAGGGTTTTTTTGGGGGGGAGGGGGTGGGTAGCAGTGGTGGCTCTTAGTTCCATACCATGTGACCTGGCCTGACCTAGCCTATTTGACCCCTGGCATGGTGGGTGGCCTAGACAGGAGACTAAAGTTGTAATTCAAGTTTGTCTTGACCCAGGTATCAAGGAGAGCAAGACCTGCTCACAGCTGTAAGAAGGGAAAGAGACTTTGGGAGAGGTACAAGCTTACAGCAGCTCTCTACAGCCAACCTAGAAAAAGAATACTGAAGGGATATGGCCTGCTTTCTGTTTCATACTTGAATTAAATAAATAATCTCAACATTTACCTACAAACATTGACAAGTTAGTGGATGTGCAGAACTATGAAAGCACATAATAGGGATCTTTGTAACAGTAAGGCTTTTGTAGACTGACCAATATGCCGATTTTCCAAAAGCCATGGCCTCTTGTCTAATGCAGAACCCATTTTCCTAAACATGACTCTTGTAAGCAGCATACTAGGAACAAGCCACTGTCACAGCTCATGTTTATGACAGTTTTTCCCCTATAGGACAAGGCCCAAAGAACCATCCCTTATGGGGATTGTATCAATAATTTATCCAAATTATATCAGCCAGTTTGACTTGCCTGATGATAGTGTCCTTGGTGAAGACCAGCGGTAGGATGTGGAGAAGCAGCAGAAAGCTTTACCTACAAATCAACCAGGTAGCCTCTGTGCAGGGGTAAAACAAAACAAAACAAAACAAAACAAAACAAAACAAAACAACAAACCACCCACGTTTTCCTGGGAAACAACAACATGGCTCCACTGGACCTGAAACACTATATAGACCCTATGGGCCACAAAAGTAGGAGAATAAAAGCAAATGCTGACTGAGTACTTTTTACTCTCCGTGCACACAACTTATTTAATTACATGTCAGCTCTGGGAGCTATTAAAAAAAAAAGAAGGGTATCTTAGTGCCCTTACTTCCCGGATAGAAAGCGAGGCTTGAGCAAGCAAAGTGTGTCCAATTTCAGTCACAGAGTGAATTCCCGACAGAGACTGATCTAGAACACTGGCATCTGTATTCTCCTCCCAAGCACTCATACAGCACCGGCTGAAGTAACTTGCTGCACATCAGGAGGATAGATGTAACAGCCAAGTTCTAGAAGGAGTTATCAGTGGATGGGGCACCTCCCTGTCTGTGAAACAGAGCAAGCCAGAAAACTGGCAGATGGACCCTCTTCCTACTTGCTTTTGCTGGCTGAAGAATCAATACGAGATTTTCTTCTTCAAGGGCCGGGTAGAGTCTCAGTACAAGTGTAAAATGACATGTGTTCTCATTTTACAGATGAGAAGGGCCAGATCAGAGTCCTCAGAGAAGAGTTACAGGACAGACTTCAGTCATGCAGCCTCTGCTCTTGGAGTCGTTCTGGAGCCCAGACTCTTGCTTCTTACCTCTCTTTGCAATAGATGCTTCGCTTGGTTGCCGGGGAGCCAAGCACCGCCGCTTGGTTGCTAAGAGGAAGTCAGGCAATAAATATCCTGGGTGAAAGTTGGTGTGTCACGTGACCGTATTTTTGGGCGGGGAAACGCTTCTAACACCAACCAGACTTGAAGAAAACAAACGTCTCTCCAATCAGCACCGTCAATGCGCAGCAACTTCTAGTTACGTTTTTTTTTTTTTTCTTTCTGCCCGCCTATTTAAGTGACTGACACACTTTTTACCCAGTCATAGGAGAGATTCTCTAGACTGACCAACAGGCTAATGAATCAAAAAGAACAGCTACTCGTGTGGAGGCGGGTTGTGGGGGGGGGGGGTGCCGCTACGGCTGACGGGGACCCCGGTGACTTAGCTTGCACCGTTGCCCAATCGGACGCCGCGGGGTGGGTGGGACTTCACCGAGAGTGGCGTGCCGTCCAATCGGAGGCGGGCTGGGTAGACGCTGCCCAATAGAAATGTACTCGGAGGGCGAGGTCAGGCCGGCGCTCGGCGCTCCCGAGGGTGGGGCGGGGGCAAGTGTCAGTCAGGGCAGAGCGCGGCGCGGGCAGCGGAGAGCCGTGGCACACAGGCGTCCGGGCCGGAACGAGGCCCGCCGAGATGGAGTTCCTGCTGGGCAATCCGTTCAGCACCCCCGTAGGGCAGTGTCTGGGTAAGGCCGCGCGTGGGGCAGGCGTCGAGTGAGCCACAGAGCGGCTGGCCGGGCTGGTGAGGTCCGGGGGGCCTCCTGCCGGCACCGGTAGCACCTCACGTGTGGGTTGGGCTTCTGCCAATAAGCCGTGTCATCTCAAAGGTGGACTGGGCATCCTTGTCACGAGGCCTCTGCCTGACGCTGGTGCCACCTCGCTCCCCTGAGGTGCAACTTGGACTTGGAGAGGCTCTCTGCATCCATGCCCATCAGGGCCCAGCTTTTCAAGTCTTTCCCCAGAAGTAGTGTCCACGCTGGTCTTCTTACCCTTGGGTATTGGGAGATGTCATCTGCTCCCAGGGCCTCTGTTTCCCAGAGCCTTTGTGGGATGTCGCTTCTTTCTTCCATCCTTGTCCCTGCTCGTTGGTACCAATGGTTCTGAGGCTGGGCACCTGCCCAGAAAATGCCCCATGCTGCACGACTTCTAATTTGAGCTGCAACTCGCCAGGCTGTAGGAGGGACTGGAATGGGGGAGGCGCTCCGGGAAGGTGACTGTCATGGCAGGGGGATGGCACAGCTACAGAGCCTCCTAGGAAAGAAGGGAGGCCGCGCTGCCTTTTGATAAGCACTCCACTGGAACCCGGAAACTTGAACTCCAGTGACTTTGCCAGGGACTCTCCTCTTGACCTTGTGCCCTTTATGTTTTGACGTCTTCTTGTCTCTCACACGAGGCGTTTTGAGATAAGCTGCCGTGGGACTTCTCACTTTCTGAAGTTTTTCATCTTCTTTGTTGATATTCAGTGTCTCCTTACATCGACTCTTGTTCTTCAATTATATTATGTTAAATGGTAGCAAAGTACGCAGACCACCTGTCAGTACTATAAGGAGCTAGAAATGGGCCCCATGCCGAACGAGGAAGAGCACAGGCAAAGATATAAGAATGTGGCCACTGTGAAGTTTCCGTACTGAAAAAGCCACTTGCGCGCTGGAGCATAGTTCAATGGTAGAGCATTAGCTTAGCACACACAAAATCCTAGATTTGATCTCCAGCACTGCAAGTAATAAATAATAAACAAGCAATTTGGCCTTTCACCCAAGGCAGGAGCTCATGCCAATGAATCAGTCAAAAGTGCTGATTAGTTTCTTTTAAAACTGCCTTGGGGTTGGAGAGCTGGCTCAGTGTTTAAGAGCGCTGGCTGGCTGTGGATTCAGGTTCCGTTCCCAGCACCCGCAGTCAGGCTCACAGCCAGCTGTAACTTCAGTCCCAGGGGATTGGTTGCCCTCTTCTGGCATCTTTTATATACGTGGCATGTAAATGGTGCACAAACAAGGCAGGCAAACAAAAACACCCACATACATAAAATTTTTAAAAATTAAAGCTGGGTCTGCAGGTTGGTTGAAATTATCTTTTATGAACTGGAATCTGTACGGTCGTTGTGGGTCTGACCAGTTCTGGCAGTAGAGATTTGCATATTTTCTACTTTGCATATGAATTTATGGCCTACTTTTCTGTCTTCGGAGGGTCTGTGAACTAACGGAGGCTTCTTTTGTTGGTTAATTGATATTTAGGGGCATTTTGTTACTTTTAGATAACAGTGTATTTTTTAAGTGATTATGGATACTGGGACCTGAAAGTCTTTTCCCACTTGTATGACACTTTGTTCTCTGATGTCCACTTGAGTCTCTCTCTCTCTCTGTCTCTGTCTCTCTCTCTCTCCATATATACATATGTGTGTAGATATGTGTGTTATGTATGTATATACTTGAATATGAAGTATTTCAATTTCACGTGTTTGTTTTGCCTTCATGTATGTCTGTATACCACTTGCAGTCCTTGTGCCCACAGAGGCCAGAAGAGGGTGTCAGATCCCCCGGAACTGGAGTTACAGGCAGTTGTGAGCTGCCATGTGGGTGCTGGGAATCAAGCCGGGGTCCTCTGGAAGAGCACCAGGGCTCTTAACCACAGAATCACCCACCCCTCCAGCCTCCCCTCTCTTTTTGAAGAGGCTTTATTTTATTTATGTATGTATGTGCGTGTGTCTTCATGAGTGTATATACACATGTGTATGTGGGTGCCTGTGGAGGAAGAAGAGGGCATTGGATCCTTTGGAGGAAAGTTACAGGCATTTGTGATCTGGCTGATGTGGGTGCTGGGATCCAAGCTCCGGTTCTCATGACTGAGCAGCAAGTGCTCTTAACCACTGAGTCATCGCTCCAGCCCTGACTGTCTCTTCCAAGTCTCACTCTCCTTTCTTCTTACTCATTTCCTTTTCTGTTTTGCCCTTATCTTCAAGTGTTCTTTTACTGTAGCCCAAACTCACTTCTCAAGCCAGTGTTGAGTTCAAGCCAGTGAACTTGATGGTCTTGTGGGGTTAGAGGATGGAAGGGCAGAATGTAGAAAGCTCTCTCTCTCTCTCTCTCTCTCTCTCTCTCTCTCTCTCACACACATACATATATATATATATATACATATATGTATGTATATATATATATAGTGTGTATGTTGTATAATTGAAATATATTTCAATTTTATGTGTTTGTTTTGCCTTCATGTACACCTGTACACCACGTGCATTCCCTGTACCTACAGAGATATAAGGGATGTAGGGGTATTTGAATGGACATAAATAAGTAAATGTGTTAGATGTGCCCTGAGTTGAATGACCTTGGCTTGGCACCTCAGAAGATTGTGTAAGCCTTCTAAGCCTGAGAGTGATTGAGAGAAAAGGAGGGAAGAATGAGGAGAAACCTTTTTTAGAGTTCTTGAAGGGAATGATGTCTACCAGCACTTGGTATCTTCTCTAGAACACTGTAGAGTCTCAGTGAATTGAGCCCTCTTTCTGTTCATAACAGAATAATTAAGTCAGACTTGGGCTTTCTGTCAGCAGAGGCTATGTGATATGACTGGTTTATGGTCTGGTTTAGATGCACTATTGCTTATAAAAGATATTTGAGGGACTGGATAGATGGTTCTTTTGTTTGTTTGTGTGCTTGTTTGTTTGTTGTTGTTTTTCTGAGACAGGGTTTCTCTGTGTAGCCTTGGCTGTCCTGGACTCACTTTGTAGACCAGGCTGACCTAAACTCACAGAGATCCTCCTGCCTCTGCCTCCCACATGCTGGGATTAAAGGAGTGTGGCACCGTGCCCCACTGGAAGATGGTTCTTAAAATAGCACTTGTTGTTCTTGCAGTGCTAATAAGTTCACAAGGCAGCTCACGGCCATCTTTAACTGGAGTTACGGGGGATCTGACACCATTTTTTTCCTTTGTGGCATGCATGTGGTACATATGTATACATACAGGCAAGCACACACACATATAATAAACAAATAAATATTAAGAAAAAGAAATTTGATCATGGAGATGATGAAGAGTCCCTGTTGCTAGATAGCCAATAGTCAGCAGGTTGGCCTTAGTCATTTTAGTTTATAAAAATGATAAATTGACAGGTTGAAATTTTAATGGATATTCTATAGTATTGTGGCAAAGAGTAAAGGTGGGTTTTGGTACTGTGATTTTTAAAAAGTAGGTACTTATGCTGGGAATGGTGGTGCATGCTAGTAATCCTAGGAGGAGGTGGAGCCAGGAAGATCAGGAGTTCAAGGCCAGCCTCAGCTGCATGGAGAGTTTGAGACTATCGTGGGTTACATAAGACCCTTTATCCCAACCATCAGCAGCAACAAAAAGTATGGGAAGAGGGTATACAGAAATAGCAACCACTAATGCTTAAAATAGCAGCTGAGGGACTGGAGAGATGGGTCAGCAATTAAAAGTACTGGCTGCTTTTTCTGAGGATCCAGGTTTGATTTCTAGCACCTGCATGGCAGCTTACAGCCATCTGTTAATTCCAGTCTCAAGAACTCTGAGACTTCTGGCTCTGTGGACTGTGAGCAAGCATGCCTGTGATAACGCAGACATATGTGTAGGCAAACACCCATACACATAAAAATAATAAGTAGATAAATCTCTAAAACAGATGTAATAGCAGCTGCAGGGCTGGAGAGATGGCTCAGAGGTCAAGAGCACCTATTGTTCTTGAAGATGACCCAGGATCAGATACCAGTGCCCAGATGGTGGCTCACAATTGCCTGTAATTCTAATTCCAGGGTACCCAACGTCCTCTTCTCATCTCCACGGGCTTCATGCATGCTTGTGGTACACATACATGCACTCAGGTGCACACACGTGCGCATAAAATAAAAATAGATATTTAAAACAGTAGCTAAAAGCAGTTCTCTGAGGATCATTTGATTTTTTTCAGCTGTTTTGTGATAAGTTGTCCTACCTACTTTAGAGATGAGGAAACTGAGGCTCTGAGGAGTGAAATGAACGCTTCCCAGTAGATGAGAGAGCCAGGGTCTCTGGTCCTGGGGTTTAGGTTGGGGAAAAACCTAGAGCTTCCTAGGACTGAAAACGAGATGTAGGAGTTAAAAAAGATATCAGAAGAGGGTGGTGGACAGGGGTGGGTGTGTCCTCTCGGTCTAAGGCACTCTGCAGGCCGGGAGGAGGCTATGGTGGCCCTTGGGGACAACTGAGTGAGCAGGGAGAAAGGAGAGGATGTGGGTTTATCTGATCAGCAGACTGAGTGGAAGAGGGAGGTGGCTGTGGGGAATGTGTTTGGTAGGGCTGGATGACAAGAGGAGGGCCTGCTCTGGGTGGGCAGTATCAAGATGGCTGTTTCTGTGCCAGGGTTTGAAGTCAGTGCTAAATGTGATTTTCATTAATTGGCTTCAACTTTTAATTTCTAGACGTTATATTCCCACCCATTAAGTACTATTAGCTGCGCATGCCTCGTACATAAGTGCCTTGGTCATTTTTGAGCACCTGTAAGTCCCAGGCCTCAGGAATACAGGTATTTGTGGGGTTATGCTTGGACTCAGGGCATTACAAGTGCTAGGCAAGTGTGAATGTGCAAATAATAAATAAAGGAGCCATTAGGAGAGAAAACATCCTCACTATACTATACATGTCCTGGGCTGGAGTGACTGGAGGAAAAATTATTGAAGACTTCTAATGTGGCGCTGTT